ACACACACACACACACACACACTGACACACTCACACACACTGACACACACACACATCAGTGTCTGATCATCTCTCACACACACACACACACAAACACACTCACTCACACATACACTGACACAGAAGAGGAAAATCACATTTACAGTCAAACACATGAGCAGCTCCCATCATTCACTGCAGGAACCCTAGTGAGCTGCTGTATGCTAACAGCACAGACCAATTCAACTAAAAAAAACAACAACAACAATAAAACATTACATATAGATATTAATAAAGGCAGCAGCTATTTACACTAAGTGCAAATAGCTATAGATTCTATGTACACTATGTTAAAAAAAAGCAAATAATAATAATATAAATAGACACTCTGATTAATAAAACTAGTGTCTCACTGATTAGGACACATGCTAGATTAATAGTATATTAATACTACTGTCAGTTCTGAGAGTGTCTCTTTTACTCAATGCTGCTGTCTAGTTAGGCGGCTCACTAGGGTTTGAGCTTTCATCTGCGGTCATTCATCACAAATATACTGCGAACACTTTCAGGTGCTCATCATGACCCCAGAGGTCACAGGTCACTTCACTACAGGCTCCGCCCACAGGCCGCTGAGCGCACGCACCTGCAGAAACACAGTAGAGGCAGACGGTGACGAGCGCAGCGTCCGGAGCGAGGGCTCACCTGGTATCCCAGCAGGCCGCGGTCCGTCTCGTCTGGCACCTCCTCCGTGAAGCGGCGCTTCTGCGGAGCCGGAGCCGGAGCCAGCGTCTGCAGACAGAGACAAGCGCTTAAGCAGATGGACTGAGACCAGCCTTCACACATCACACTTTACCTGCAGAGAAGGTAGAGGTGTGCAGGATGCTGTTCTTTATCTTTCAAATCTGGGGCGTATTACAGAACGTTTCTCATCTCAGGTCTTAAGTCAAGTCACCTTTATTTATCAAGCGCTTTTAACAATACAGATTGTGTCAAAGCAGCTTTACAGTATCAAACAGGAAAACAGTGTGTCAATAATGCAGAAGAACAATAGTAAACACACTTAAGATATTAGGGATTTAACGATATGATCAATATCGCGATATCAAAACTGTCTCGATATTATCGCGGTCGCATGACAATATGAAACGATAGGTCTTTTGGGCAAAAAGTGTAGTTTTTAACTTTTTATTCTAAAAGGCATAAAAGGTGTTTAAAGTTGTGTTTTGGGTCATTATGCTTTGGCACAGTATCAGACGAACTCAAACCGAAAGCACAATATGCTTCATCTCTTCATCAAGTCTGTTTTAAAGCGAAGCGCACACTTGGTTCAGACGATCAGCTCGTGATCCGGTGTTTTCTGCGTCTCAGAACGACTCGTTCACACTGAATGAATGCAGTCCACTCCTTTATTTAATCTTCTGTGAGTTTAGCGCTCGTTTGGGAACGCAGCAGACACCAGTTATGCTTTATTTCAGCGACAGATGATTACAGCGTTTCTCTAGATTTGTAGTTAGATGTTTGTGTTTTTGTAAGCATGTTTTCACTGAAGCTGGAGTTTCCTTCTGAATAAAAGATTAAAGTGCAGCATGAATAGCTGACAGCTAGCGGTTTAAATGCAGCCCAAAACATCTCTTTCAAGTGTAGAAATTAGGAAAGAAGTATTGTAATTTCCCTGCTGGAGTGTAAAGCACATATAATATACCTATGAAATATTCATTTTCATTTATTTTACAGTGCAATTGTTTTACAATATATGGCTGTCACTGTTATTATTATTATTCAATTCTAATTTGTTTGGCTTCCTCAAACCCCAGTGTGAGTGTAATTCAGACTATAATAAAAGAGGGTTGAGTCCCCTTTAAAGTTCAGCTACGAGTCAATTCACTGACTTCTTTCTGACTTAAGTTTTCTTAGTTAAGAACAAGTTGCAGCTCTTAATTTTGAACTCTCAAAGTGCATTAGATAGAATAATTTAACTTTAAAATGTACAAACTTTAAATTTTTTCTCCCAATTCTTCATTTGTCTTTTTAAATATCGCAATAATATCATATCGTGAGATTTTGATATCGTTACATCCCTATAAGATATGATACGTTAAATTTGGATTTTTCTGAAATTCGTATTACAGAAGCAAATCTTAATCTTACAAAATCCTATCTTATCTCTAGTTATAATCCTAAATTGCATCAAGCTCAACAATCCAGTCTCAGGTCTGTCACCAAGCACCCAACACTGGAGCTGCTGATGAGCTCAACAAACAGTGCCGCGGAAACTGAAACTTTGATGAGTTCGGTAGAAAAGGCAGAGCCGATACTATTTGGTAAGCTTTCAGCTTCGCTTACTCATGAAGACAAAGACAAAATGTGTCTTTCTTAGAGCTGCGATGATAAATCAATGCAGAATCGATTTGTGGATCGATCTTCTGAATGCATGGCGGTTCTCTCTGGAATGGGTTCTGAGCTTATATTTTAACAGCAGATGGCGCTCTACTCTAGTTTTTATCTGCACACTCAAACACTCATGAAGAAGAGCTGAAGAGCGCTTGTGTGTTCGGCTGAGTCTGTAATTTCACCTCGGCTCAGAATGCTTTTATGACGCCAGATTAATGTAAACACTAATGTAAACACAATGTGGTCCTAACTGACATTACCAAACAGATAAAATAAGATTTTAAAGTTAGGATGTTTCTGTAATACGCCCCCTGCTTTATAAACATTTAGAAAAACCAAAAACGTGCGCCAGGCTGTTGTTCATCGATTTTTCTTCTGCTTTTAACACCATAAAGCCACATTTGTTAATAGAGAAATTAATATCTCAATTTAATATTGATTTAAATGTATTATTATTACATCATTTAATTTAAACAGAGAGGCCACAGTGTGTTAAAGTCAACGATGTATTTTCTAAACGTTTAGTCATTAAGCAGATGTTTTTATCCAAAGCGACTTACAACTGAGGATAACAGAAGCAATCAAAACAACAAAAGAGCAATGATATACACAAGTGCTATGATATCTGATATAATAATATGATATGATGCTATGATATATAATATAATCTTAAGATAACAGAATCTATGTTTTTAGTTTTAGGTCGAGTACGTTTCGATGTCAAGGCCTTCTTAAAATGATATATATATAATTTTGCCAAAGGAAATAACAGGTGCATGGGGATATAGGTGAAATATATTGTGAAAAAAAGCATATTAATGTACCTGTGCCGGGACGCTCGGGGGCGCGGGGGTGATGGGATACTGTGCGGTGGGGACGGGGCCCGGGGCCGGAGCCAGAGGATACTGAGGAGCGACGGGCTGCGGCGGAGGGACCGGGCTGGAGTAGGACGGCTGGAAGCCTGCGGGGGGGTAATACGGAGCCTGCGGCTGGATCCCGTTAACGGCAGGAGGCTGAACGAATCCTGCTGACAGACACACAGCCATCAGTCCAAACGAGCCTCCGCTCACATGACCTCATATAACAACCAATAGAGACAGAGCGCATTTAGGCCACGCCCACACCGGGGAGGAACAATCCAACGCTTTCCATTGACTTTGTATTGCGGGAATCTGTCTCCGTGTCATTTCTGACTTATAACAAAAAACAGAACAATGTCTACAAGCTGCTGTGTGACGAGGTGTACAGCAAACAAGCTAAAAAAAACCAGAACTATGTTTTTATAATCTGTCGACCCAAAAAAACGAGCGTTTAAGGACACAAATAGTTGTAGATGTCGGGGTATTTCATTCAGTTAGATCATTTCTCAAATAAAAGGAAGGTCAGGAAAAGGGGCACTGACATAGACCAATAAAGTTTAGTTTCTCAGTATATCTCCTCCTCTCAGGTTCACATCGGGTGGAGAAATAATCCTTTGACATGATTAAAATAACTTCAGGCCGCTCACTAAACATCACTAGATGACATCAACCCAGCGAGTCTCAGAAACTACATAAGGTTTGTCCATTTAAAGGCGCCATGACATGGGCTTTTTTTTATCATTTTAAAATGTTTCTTAAGGTTTACTTATAATGTTAATAAAGTTTTTTGCACAAAAAATAAAACAAATAAACATGTGGAAAAATGATTATTTTCTACCCTCATTCTGACCTCTCTCTGAAACGATGTTTTAAGGGGCGTGTCCTTTAAGGCTCGTCAGTAATCAGCCGCTGTTGTGATTGGCTAACGTCACTGCATAGGAAACAGTATCAACGCCCCTCGCTATTGCATGAGTGTTTTTACAACATGATCAAAATAAAGCGGTTATTTCCAGACGAAGCATTATGAAATCATTTACTTATGGTTTGTGATGCAGATCTAGTTCCGCTTCATCTTTCAACAAATGATTCTTTGTGACTCTCCATGACACTGTGCCTCGATTACAAAACAAAATCCTCCGACACGATCCGAGATGCTGTTAAAATAAACTATCCACTTGTTCCTTACGCTGGGATCCTTCTGATATCTGTACAAAGACGTGAACGAGCTGTTTAAGGATATTCATATCTGTAACTGTATCCAGAGTAGACGAGAAAGCGCAGTGATTGTGATTTCTATTAGCTTTTGACGCGATGCAACACTCGCATTCTGCGTGATCAAGTGTTAGCCGTTAGCGAGGGAGCGCCAGTGGGCGGGGCCTATGCTGAGAAGAAGACTATTGGTCAACCCTGTGTGGGCATCACACTGCTCATCTGATTCAGGAATCGAGAATACTCAGCATGAACCTGCCAGAGAATAAAACACACACACACACACACACACACACACATTCAGTCTTACTGTTAACTCAAACCATTAAAAAAAAAGAAATGTTGGCAACTTGGCAACTAATAGAAATAAAATGAATCAAAGCTGAAACACTAAAGTAAATAAACATTAAATAAAACGAAGCATCAATAAAAAAAACAGAAAAACTCCTAAAATGACTAAGTCTGAAAATATACAAATAAAATTGAATTAATAAAATAAATAAACACCATAATAGTTCATAATACTTGAATAACACTGATTATAGAGGTGCATCTCAGAAAATTAGAATATCATGAAAAAGTTTTTTTTTTTAATGTAGCTTATTTCAAAAAGTGGAACTTATATTCTAGATTAAAAGAATAAAGTGAAACATATATTCTAGATTTATTACATGTAAAGTAAAACATTTCAAAAGTTTTTTGTTTTAATTTTGATGATTAGAGCTTACAGCTCATGAAAGTCAAAAATCCAGAATCTCAAAATATTAGAATATTTCCTAAGATCAATCAAAAAAAGGATTTGCAAAACAGAAAAGTTCAAGTTGTTTAAAGTATGTTGATTTCTGCACTCAGTACTTGGTCGGGGCTCGTTCAGCACAAACTCCAGCATCAGTGAGGCGTGAATGAAGCGATCAGCCTGTGGCTCTGCTGAGACACTATTGAGCTTCAGTTCGGATCCACTGTTTCTCATCTTTCTCTTGAAAACATCCCATAGACTCCACATTGGCTTCAGGTCAGGCGTGTTGGCTGGCCAATCAAGCACCATAATATCATTGGAAGTGGTTTTGTCTCTGTGGGCAGGTGCTAAAGTCCTGCTGGAAAAGGAAATCAGCATCTCCATAAAGCTTGTCAGCAGATGGAAGCATAAAGTGCTCCAAAACCTCCTGGTAGACGGCTGCATTGACTCTGGACTTGATAAAACACAATGGAGCAACACCAGCAGACGTCACGCACCCCAAATCATCTCTGACTTCAGAAACTTCACACGGAGGGTGTCAGTGATCATCTTCTGGAGCATTGCTAAGTCAGCAGACTTTCCCATTATTGTGGTTTCAAAGAACAAGAGATACCCGGAATTTATACTGTAGGGATGGTCATTTAATGAAACTCAGATGTAAATATTCTAATATTTTGAGATACTGGATTTTTGACTTTCATGAGCTGTAAGCTCTAATCATCAAAATTAAAACTAAAAAAACTTTAAATGTTTTACTTTACATGTAATGAATCTAGAATATATGAAAATTTCACTTTTTGAAATGAGCTAAAAAAAACTTTTTCACGAGATGCACCTTGTATATGCTGTATTTGTTTGCACTACTGTTATTTTAATTTGCATGATTTTTCATTGTGTGCATCAGCTACACTGCAAACACTTCAGATAAACACATGCAGCACAATAAACTGATAACAGACAGAGAGTGAGACGCTCTTACGGTCTGCAGGAGGTTTTCACACAGGGTTTTTGCAGCAGCAAGTCCTTCTGGTTTTGGGTGACTGGAGGAACAGAGAAACTCGTGAACACTGGTGAAGAACGCTGGTGAACATGTGTCACTGTGTGTATCCGGTTAACAGCCTCTACACACACACACACACACAGCAATGTTAAGCACAAGCACAAACACACTCATACACACACAGCAATGTTAAACACACTCACGCACACACACACACACACTCACACACACACACACACACACAGCAATGTTAAACACAAACACACACACTCACAGCAATGTTAAACACATACACACTCTCACACACACACACACAGAATGAAGTGAAGCGTCGGTCACATCACTCACTGTCCACTAAGTCTCTGGTTTGTCCCTGGACGTGCAGATAGAGTGGACGGTCACTGCAGAAACATCAGAGAGTGATGCATTAGCATTTATATTCATCATAGAACATTTCCTGTCAAACTAATCAACAGAATCAGATGAATGTGTTGACAGACCTGGGCAGTGCTTTGCTCTTCTCCTCCGCTGTCATGAAGCGTCCTCTGGTGGACACGGCAGCGCCGCTCACTCTGCTGATCTGTGTGGAAAATACACATCTGCCCGTATTCAGTAATGCCATATATATCACAATAATGAACATGCACGATATTGTTATTGCGGGCATTTTAAAATACCGAGAATAATTATTTATTACAAATTATTCCGAATTTTGAATGCATTTTAAGAATTTGTTTCCCATCAACTGGTCACAACACAACACCGCTGTATGCTGCGTGAAAGTCGCATGTGCACTCTGACGTAAACAAGACGCTCTGGAGGACAACACTTTCACTCTCTGACAGCAGGTGGCGCTGAACTGCAGAAATGCAGCCGTTACCCTGGAAACCCCATAAACATAAACAGCTGCACTACTTTCTGTTTCTGAGATGTATTTAAATTATTTAAACAGCCATTCAGATTTTTGTATGCGCTGTTCATCACAGAGCCAAATACTTAAATATTTAGACTTAATAGGCTATTTATTTTCAAACTTTTTTTACATTTTAATCTGGACTACAACATGCCCTAGATATTGTTTGAAAGTGTTTTGATTCTTTATTGTTCGGTCACACTTTACAGTAACATGAACTAAGAGTTGTATTTTTAACAAAGATTCTGTAGCAAATGTAGCTATTGCTCATTGTGAATGTTAATGCATTAACTAAGGTTAATTAATGAGGTCTTATTGTAAAGTGATACTATTGGTCTTTATAGTTCTTTTGCACTTTAATCTGTGTAAAACTTTTAACTTTATACATTTTTCTGTATTGCTTTATTGCATTTAAATGTTATTAAACCTGTTATACTGTATTATGACAGCACTTTTT